TCCTTGTGAATGAGGTACTTTCAGCAGCACAACCCGGGGATCAATGTCAGTACTCAAGTCAGTGCAGTGCCATATACCATGGACTGATCTGTGATCGCGGTTCTTGTCGGTGCCCCAGTGGCCAGTACTGGAACGGGTCGGGTTGCTCCGTGCATTGTCCTGCAGGACAGCGACGGTGTCATTCGACGGGCATGTGCAAAACAGGTACGTTTTTCATGTTCAAGTCACAATCATCGTCATCTAATCAATTGTGCTCTGCCATAGCTTGCCTTAGTTCTCAGGTTGAGCACGATGGAAGCTGCTACGAACCAGCAAATGTGGGCGACCGTTGCGGTGAAATGTCGTGGTGCGCCGGTGGATCATCATGCGTTCAGGGAGTTTGTCGCTGTCCTCTTGGTTCTACGCAAAGAGGCAACACGTGCGTAAATGGTAGCTGCAAAATTCTGCTATCAAATAAATGGCTGATTTCTTCGTTAAAGTTGCTGTGAAACCCGGAGGTTCTTGCGCAAACGGTGAAGAATGTTCTGATGGATCTGTGTGTGAAAACAATGTCTGCACATGTCCGAGAAGCACAATCCTTTTCAAGGAACGCTGTGTTGTTCCCAAGAGTGGTATACCTTTACTTGATGACTGAAAGCTTTGCATGATAATTCAGTTTTTGCCTTGTGCTGTGCACTAATCATTAATAGGACATTAGCTGTATAACATTATTCCATTGCATTGAGGCTTCATGCAAACGCAGGCAATCAATAACCGGAAGGGACTCATAAATCAGGATCTTATTCATTTTGTTGTGACAGTCAAGATTCACAGTTACATCGAACTTGAATGATTGCATGGCCGAACATTGCTAATGACGCGAGATTATTTCTGCTTGTTGTTGTTCAGTACAACGAGCAAGCGAATAATCGTGTCAAATTATTTCTCGCAGGAGTCACAGGTGTTGAAGACCTGTACATTGAAGTCATGCCCACGTCATCAGACGAATTATCCCCACAAGACCTTTCCAGAATTTGAACCTGTCTGAAACGTTCCTGCATGAAATTATTAATTCAGCAACAAAAAGCATGCAGTATGTTACAGAACCACGATCATCAGCCCTTGTCGATCAACTGCTGAATGAAAGCCTATCTGAGACTTTGCCCTAGACTTCTGCTCTCAGCTATTTTCATCCAGCATGATTTATCAAACTTCTTCAGCTCATTCTGCCGCTGAACCGGTGTTTCTACAGGTCGCTTACTCAACCTGGTTCCCAGTCGAGTGACTCTTTAGTCCAGCAACTTGTCCACTGCCACATTAACTTTTTCCCTCAGGCAACCGTAGACTTATGTTTGCGCTCTTACCCATTCATTCATATTCCTGTCTTTTCCTGTTATTCCCAGTAAATTTCTTTCCGTGTTGTATTGAGTAGTCTGCATTTATGAACAGTTTTCAGGCGGGTTCACGTTTCGCCCGTTTAGTTTAGCACCCTGATGGAAAATTTTCTTTCAAACACAAAGGCAGTTCCCCGAATAGAAACTTATGCTGTTGATTTTGCATAGTCCTTTTGGAGAGCAGTTATTTTACACTTCTTCATGCCTGAACCCGTTCATATCAACAGGTCACCACTTTATTAAACATGACCTAAACCTTAGCCAGGTTCATTTGCAGTCGTACTTTAACACTAACGACGTTCAGCTTTTGAATTCTTCTTTGTTGTTCTTACGGTGACCTTGAGAAAATCATAACATCATCCTCAAACCGCAGATAG